TACATCTCAGTTGGGTCTCATGGGAGCTGGAGTTCAAAAATGACCAAAGGTCTAAAGTTTCAACATCCTTCCTTAAGCACCCATTTCATTTGCCTGAGGTCTCATCCGGGCCGGACTTCCTTTTTTCCCTGCATTTCTATGTCTGGCCTTTAAAGCTCTTTGTCTAAGCATAGGTTTGTTTTTGTTTTTTGTCCTGGCACGTTCCCCAGGAAAACCGGTGTTTTACTGCTGGATCAAACCAAATTCCAGTTGGGTTTTGGCAGACTGCTGTTTGCTCCGATTCAGTGGTAAAACCCAGGTATTCCCAGGGAAAGCACTGGAACTAAAAAGAAGGAAAACCTCTCAGGCACAGTGCTTTAAAGCAGTGTTTCCCAAACATGGGTCACCAGCTGTTTTGGGAACTCCCATTATCCCCAGCTAGCAAGACCAATGGTCGGAGAGGATGAGAACAGTAGTCTTAAAAAAGCAGCTAGAGTCCCGAGTTTGGAAAACACTGCTTTCAAGCATGAACGTGTTCCTTGAAAGCAAGATGCAAAAGGATGTCTGTATGAGTTCTGTGTTTCAGCTTCCTTTCTCATTCATGTCTTAATCCTATGAGTGATGGTGTAAGGGTGTGGAGCTTGGACAAGGCAGCAACACTGGATCTTGAAGAAGAAGAAGAAGAGTTTGGATTTGATATCCCGCCTTTCACTCCCTTTAAGGAGTCTCAAAGCGGCTAACATTCTCCTTTCCCTTCCTCCCCCACAACAAACACTCTGTGAGGTGAGTGGGGCTGAGAGACTTCAAAGTGTGACTGGCCCAAGTGTGACTGGCCCAAGGTCACCCAGCAGCTGCATGTGGAGGAGCGGAGACGCGAACCCGGTTCCCCAGATTACGAGACTACCGCTCTTAACCACTACACCACACTGGCTCTTGACTTTGCAGAGTCCTCAAAGTGGGGTGCCTTATAAAGGTAAAGGTACCCCTGACCGTCTTGGGACGCGGGTGGTGCTGTGGGTTAAACCACAGAGCCTAGGACTTGCCGATCAGAAGGTCAGCAGTTCGAATCCCCGCAACGGGGTGAGCTCCCGTTGCTCAGTCCCAGCTCCTGACATCCTAGCAGTTCGAAAGCACGTCAAAGTGCAAGTAGATAAATAGGTACTGCTCCGGCGGGAAGGTAAACGGCGTTTCCGTGCGCTACTCTGGTTTGCCAGAAGCGGCTTAGTCATGCTGGCCACATGACCCGGAAGCTGTACGCCGGCTCCCTCGGCCAATAAAGCGATGAGCGCCGCAACCCCAGAGTCGGCCACGACTGGACCTAATGGTCAGGGGTCCCTTTACCTTTACCCCTGGCCATTAGGTCCAGTCGCGGACAACTCTGGGGTTGCACTCTCATCTTGCTCTAAAGGCCGAGGGAGCCAGCGTTTGTCCACAGACAGCTTCCGGGTTATGTGGCCAGCATGACTAAGCCACTTCTTAGAGAACTTCCTTAAAATGCAACAGCGATGGTACATAACCCCTTGGAAGCTCTCCAAGATGTATAAAAGTGTACCAAGCAATTGTTGGAGGTGTAAAGAAAAACCAGGTAGTTTATACCGCATGTGGTGGCAATGTAAATAAATCAAAGTGTTCTGGGAGGATATTCATTCCGAATTGGAATTTAAAAAAATGTTAAAAATCTCAGCAAAAAACAGAAGCTTACCTACTGGGAATCACAGACTCGGATATCCCTAAAAAAGCTAAGGAACTTTTTCTTTATGCTACGGTTACAGCAGGAATACTCATTGCGACAAACTGGAAAAGCGACAAAGTCCCTTCTAGATCAGAGTGGACTCCCAAAAATGATTGAATATGCGCTACCTATTTATCTACTTGCACTTTGACATGCTTTTGAACTGCTGAGTGGGCAGGAGCTGGGACAGATCAACAGGAGCTCACTCCATCGCACAGATTCAAACCACCGACCTCCTGATTGGCAAGCCCTAGGCTCTGTGGTTTAGACCACAGTGCCACCCGCGTCCCTGGGGTGCCTTGTAGGGTGACAGATTTATCGCCCACCCTTCCCCAGAAAGTCCCGGGGCAAGGTACATACAGAGCAGGCATGGCAATCTCAAAATAGCCTGAAACATCTATCAAAATGACTCTTTTAAACCCTTAAATTACTGCAAACATCAGAAACAGCTGCAAAAGGATGTGTGTGTCCCTCATCCTCTCAGTGATAACTTCCTTTATTAGCCTGGCAGCTTTGCGTGTAGCTGAACGTGCATCTAAACTTTGCACGGAGTTTTTCTGTTTCCCAGAGATGGTGACATTTCCGCCCTGCTTTTGAAATGGAATGAGCCTGAATGTTGTCCCTTTCCAAGCTGCTAAGACCTCTCCCGCCCTTTGCGTGCTCTTAGAAATAATTACCAGCAATTTCAGGGCTCTCTCCCTCCCTCTATTTTTCTGCTAATCCTTTTACTGCTTGGGGAGGGAGGGTTGGTGGGGGTGAATTCCATCAGGCCCATAGGGTTTGTATTGCTCAGGCTGTCCTTTCCCAATTCAGATTTTGTGATCTCTTGCTGTTCCTCTATTAAATGTCCGTAATGGGTGGCTCTAAGCAAGGGGTCAGGGGGCGTGAAGAAGACACTCCGATCTTGCTGATCTGCAAAATGGTAAGCGTGTTGCAGAACTGGAATTCATTTTTTAAAAAAATTTCTTATTATTGAGTTTCTCTTAAATAACCAAAAGAAAAAAACAAATCAACAAATTCAAAAGAAATATCCATACATAGCACAAAAATAACATCAGTTTCCATTACAGTTCTTTGTCTTCTTCCTTGAGTCTTTATATCTTTAGATATTTAAACCTTTCCTCTACACACCTATTGACTTCCTTCCCTCCTGATTTCAGGCTTCGTAATAAAAATTCTTTTTTTTTCCTGCAGCTATTAGTTGTTAATGGTTTACGCATCGTAAGACTTATATCAAACCTGCTATAGTTTTTAGGTCTCTATAGTTTCCTTCAATGTATATCATAAATTTATTCCAGTCACTAATAAACTTTGTATTTTTTTGGTTTCTGATTTTTTGTGTCATTTTTGCTAATTCAACATATTCAAATAATTTTGTTTGCCAATCTCTGATCGTTGGGGTGTTTGGACTTTTCCAATTTTGTGCAATTAATATTCTAGCGGCGGCTGTGGCATATTGGAATAATGTCTTATCTTCTTTTTTTATTTCATCCCCAATTATTCCTAGTAAGAAGGCCTCTGGTCTTTTAGGGAAAGTGTATTTAAATATTTTTTTTAAGTCATTATAAATAAGTTCCCAGAACTTCTTCATTTCTTCGCAGGTCCACCACATATGGTAGAAATTGCCTTCTTTGATTTTACACTTCCAGCAAGCCTTATTTCCTGTTTTGTACATTTTCCCTAGTTTTGCCGGTGTGATGTACCACCTATACATCATTTTTTCCATTTTTTCTCTGAGCATGACGCATGCCATGAATTTCATTCCACTGCTCCATAATTTCAACCACTTATCATATTCTATATTGTATCCCAAGTCCATTGCCCATTTTGTCATGACCTCCTTTATTTCTTCATCTTTGGTGTCCCATTCTAATAATATGTTATACATTTTAGATAATAACTTGGATTTACCTTCAATTATTTCTATCTGAAATTTAGATTTTTCTCGTTTATCCCTACTTTTTTGTCTTCCTTCCATACTGCATTTATTTGATGAAATTGCAGCCAGCCTGTTAATTTGTCTTTCAACTCCTCATATGTTCTCAATTTCCATCCGCTTTCTGATCTTATCAGTAGGTCTTCATAGGTCAGTCTTTCTCCTTCCATATTTGCTTTTTGGTTGTTAAAATGTCAATTGTTGATAACCACCAGGGTGTTTTCCATTCCAGAAGTTTTTTTATTTTTCTCCCAAACTTCATATAGTGGCCCTCTGATAATATGGTTTGAAAAACCTCTATGTACCTTTTCTTTATTTAGCCACAAATAGGCATGCCAACCGAATCTGTTGTTGAAGCCTTCTAGGTCTAACATGTCAGTGTTTTCCAAATTAATCCAGTCTTTGATCCAGCAGAGGCAGGAGGCCTCAAAGTATAATTTCAGATTAGGTACCAAGAATCCCCCTCTTTCTTTCCGATCTGTAAGTAATTTGAATCTAATTCTCGGTCTTTTCCCTTGCCATATAAATTTCGAAAGAGTTTTTTGCCAATCTTTAAACATCGAGGAACCTCTAATCACTGGGATGTTTTAGAACAAAAATACCATTCTTGGGAGTATGTTCATTTTTATTGCCGCCATCCTTCCCGTCCACAAAAGTTTCACTCTATTCCACGTATCTAGATCTTTTTTAATCTCCTTCCATGTTGTGAAATAATTATCCTGAATTAAATTTATGTTTTTTGTAGTTAGCCAAATTCCCAAATATTTTATTTTTTTAGCCACCTTGATTCCATTCTGTATCTCCAGTTTTTCTCTTTCATCTTTTCCCAAATTTTTAGTCAACATTTTTGTCTTTAATTTGTTTAATTTAAAACTGGATAGTTTGCCATATTCTTCTAATATCTCCAGGGCCTTACTAACACTTTTCTGCGGCTCTTCTAGGGATAACATCAGATCCTCTGCGTACGCTTTTAGTTTGTATTCCTTTGTTCCAACTTTGATCCCTCGAATCTCTGGTGTTGCTCTTATTTTGTTCAGTAATTACCTCTAATACCATAATGAATAAAAGCGGGGATAGAGGGCATCCCTGTCTTGTTCCTTTTTCAATTTTGAATGAGTTTGTTAGATTGTTGTTTATAATCAGTTTAGCAGATTGGTTCGAATAGATCGATTTTATTCCTTCCATAAATTCGCCCTCTAGCCCTGCTTTCTCCATACTTTTTAATAGGAACAGCCATGAGACATTGTTGAATGCCTTCTCTGCATCAATGAAAATCAGCGCCGCAGGTTCTTCATTCTTACACTCCAGATATTCAATGATGTTTATATTTTTTTTTTTATAATATTTTTTATTGCATTTTTCCAGATAGAAATACAAGGTCAGATATACAAAGAAATAACAGAAAAAAGAAAGAAAAAGAAGAAAATCATCTTTTCAAAGCATTTTTCCATAACCAACCGGACTTCCCCCCGTCCCCCTCACCTTGCGTTCTTTACAATAAAATTTTTCAGCAAATTATAACCTTATTTCGTGCATTCTTTTGTTCTTTCAAATACTTGTGATTTGCGTTTAAAATGCTTATTGTCAATTTACACTAATAATATATATAATGTTCTTTTAAACGTTAGTCCTTTCATTAATATAGCTTAGTTTCCCATACCTTAATCTTATTGCTGGAGCTGAATTTCCCTAATCATGCGAATTCTTAACATTCATATAACTTATAAAATTTTTGTAAATAATCTTTAAAATTTTTCCAATCCTCCTCCATTGCTTCTTCCTCCAAATCTCGGATCCTGGCAGTCATCTCGGCCAATTCCATGTAGCCCATCAATTGCGTCTGCCACTCTTCCAGTGTGGGTAAATCTTGAGTCTTCCAGTATTTTGCGATAAGAATTCTTGCTGCTGTAGTTGCATACATAAAAAGGTTCTATCCTTCTTTAACACCTTCTGACCGACAATGCCCAGTAGGAAGGCCTCTGGTTTCTTGGGAAAAGTGTACTTAAACACTTTTTTAACTCATTATAGATCATTTCCCAGAAGGCCTTCACTTTTGGGCAAGTCCACCAGAGGTGAAAGAATGTCCCTTCAGCCTCCTTACATTTCCAACATTTATTATCAGACAAATGATATATCTTAGCAAGCTTGACTGGGGTCATGTACCACCTGTATATCATTTTCATAATATTCTCTTTCAAGGCATTACATGCCGTGAATTTCATACCAGTGGTCCATAACCTTTCCCAGTCTTCAAACATAATGTTGTACCCAATGTCCTGAGCCCATTTTATCATGGCTGATTTGACTGTCTCATCCTGAGTGTTCCATTTAAGCAGCAAGATATACATTCTCGAAAGTACCTTGGTCTTTGGTTCCAACAATTCTGTCTCTAGTTTCGATTTTTCCACCTGGAAACCTGTTCTTTTGTCCAGCTTAAAAACCTCTTGAATTTGAGCATAGTGAAGCCAATTTTGCACCTTATTCTTTAATTTTTCATAACTCTGCAGCCTCCAAGTTTCTCCTACTTTTTCTATAATTTCCCCATATTTCAGCCAACCAACCTCCATATTAGGTTTTCCGGGCCTTGGCCTCTGCTGGTGAAAGCCACCTCGGAGTCTTACCCTCTAATAAGTCCTTGTATTTTGTCCAGACCATAAATATTGATTTTCTAACAATATGATTTTTGAACATTTTATGAACCTTTACCTTGTCGTACCACAAATATGCATGCCAACCAAAAGCATTATCAAACCCTTCCAGATCTAGAACATCAGTGTTCTCAAGAAGTAACCAATCTTTCATCCAGCAGAAGGCCGCAGCTTCATAATATAATCTCAAGTCCGGCAGGGCAAACCCCCCTCTTTCTTTCAAATCAGTTAGTATTTTAAACTTTATCCGGGGCTTTTTGCCCTGCCAAACAAACTTGGATATATCCTTCTGCCACTTTCCAAAACATTCCACTCTGTCCACAATCTGTAGGGTTTGAAACAAAAATAACATTTTCGGCAATACATTCATTTTTATAGCAGCAATTCGACCCAACAAGGAAAGTTTCAATCTTGACCAGATTTCCAAATCTTTTTTGATTTCCAGCCAACATTTTTCATAGTTGTCTTTAAATAGATTCAAATTTTTCGCTGACAAGTGAACCCCTAGGTATTTCACTTTTTTTACCACACTTAGTTCTGTTTCCTTCTGAAACCCATCTATTTCTGAGGGTGTCAAGTTTTTCCCAAAACCTTAGTTTTTGCTTATTCAACTTAAATCCCGCCACCCGACCAAACTCATGAATCAATTCTAATACTCTTTTTGTACTAGATTCTGGCTCCTGTAATGTTAAAACCAAATCATCTGCAAAAGCTTTCAATTTATATTGTTTCGCTCCGACCTGTATTCCTTGTATCAACCGGTCCTTCCTAATCATGTTCAGTAACACCTCCAGGACTGAAATAAATAAAAGAGGGGATAGGGGGCACCCTTGTCGTGTCCCTTTTTCAATTTTGAACTCATCTGTCACCACATTGTTTACTATCAGTTTAGCTTTTGCTCAGAATAAATTGCTTCTATTCCATTTTCAAACCCCGTCCCACTCCCATCCCTTCCAGGTTTCTCTTCATAAACATCCAAGAAATATTATCAAAGGCCTTCTCCGCGTCGATGAAAATTAACACAGCTTTCGTATTGATATTAGTTTGTAAAAGTTCCAAAATATCAATAATGTTCCTGGTATTATCAAAAGATGTCTCCCTGGGAGAAAGCCTGCCTGGTCCTTATGAATTACTTCGTTAAGTATTTTTTTAAGTCTGCTCGCCAAAATATCAGCAAAAATTTTGTAATCCACATTTAGGAGTGAGATGGGACGGTAGTTCTTAAGCTGAGTCTTTTCAGATTCCAATTTAGGAATCAATGTGATGAAAGCTTCTTTCCACGTTTCCGGTGCCCTCCTCCCCTCCATAATCTGGTTACAGACCTCCATTAGTGGTTGTATCAAATAGTCTTTTAGTGTCTTATAGTACTTGGAGGTAAGTCCATCTGGGCCTGGAGATTTGCCTAGTTGCATATTCTGAATGGCACCCTCTATTTCCTGTCGTGTTATTCTATTATTTAAGATTGTCCTCTTCTCCTGAGATAGTTTGGATAGACCGTTAACTTTTAAAAATTGATCTATCTCAGACACTTCCTGAGGCCCTTGTGTATAAAGTTTTTTTGAAATATTTCTGGAAACACTTTCTAATTTCTTCTGGTTTCTGAATGTTTCTCCCTTCCACCTCTAGATTAGTGACAAAGTTCAATTTTTGTCTCTTTTTCAACTGCCATGCTAGCAGTTTTCCACATTTATTTGCCGATTCAAATGATCTTTGTTTCATTTGTTTGATTTTCCATTCCACTTCTTGATTTATCAATTTCGCATATTGAGCTTGGTGGAATTTGATTTCTCTTAAAACCTCTTTTGATTTTGGTTTTAATCTCAATTTTCTCTCCTTCTCTTATCTTCTCTAATATCCTATCTTTTTCCCATTCCAAAGTTTTTCTTGATTGTGTTCTGTTGTATCAGAAACCCACTCATTACAGCTTTAATTGCGTCCCAGATTGTTCTCTTTTCCACCGAAGTGTTCAAATTGATTTCAAAATAGTCCTTTAAAGTTTTTGGGCCTTCTTCACAATCTCCTGATCTCTTAGTAGGGTGTCATTCATTTTCCATCTGAAAGAACCGGTTGGAGTAAGTCTCAATTCCACTTTCAAAGCATTATGGTCGGAGCAAGTCTTTGGACAGATTTCCACTTTTCTGATCTTAGGTGCCAGTCCTCTAGTTGTCCATATTTGGTCGATTCTTGTCCATGATAGGTGGGCCTCAGAAAAGAATGTTCCTTCTTTACCTAAGGGGTTCCTTGTCCTCCAAATATCAATCAAGTCCATGTTATCAGTTAGTTCAAAGAAGGTTTTAGGTAGTCTGCCGTCTTTAGTTAAATTTTGATTTTGTGACTTATCCATGTGAGTAGAAACCACCCCATTCATATCGCCCATCATTATGATGTTGGTATAGTCCAGATAGTCCAGCATTATCTCATGCAGCTTCTTGTAAAATTCCGATTTCCCCTCATTTGGTGCATATATTCCTAAAATCAAAAACTTTTCTCCTTGTGTTTGTATCTCAATTGCCAAAATTCTTCCTTGCTCATCTTTAAACAGAAATTTCGGTGACAGGTTCTCCTTTGCATAAATCACTACGCCTCTTTTCTTGACTTTGTCTGATGAAATAAATTCTTGGCCTAGTCTTTTGTTGATTAACACTTTCCTATGGAGCCTAGTCACATGCGTTTCCTGCAAGCAAACAATATCCAATTGTTCTTTTTCAAAATATGAAAAATCCTTCGTCTTTTTCCGGGGAGTTCCCGCCATTTATATTCCAACTGTACAGCTGCAGAGACATTCTGAATCAATCTGTTGTTCCTATAGTGGGGTGTCTTCCTTTTCTTCTGGCCCCGAGGGTGTAGGTATCGGTGCTTTTCCAGGCAGTGGCGGTGGCCAAGAGGCTGCTGCTCCCTTCTGAAGGTCTTCTCCGTGGTCGTGCAGGAACTTCTGGTTATCTTCTGATGTTTTAATCTTAATTTTCTTTCCTTTAAAATTAAAAGATAAACCTTGGGAAACTCCCACCTATATGGAATCGCGTTTCCTCTCAGTAGTCTTGCTAGGTCTGTATATGTGGCTCTGAGATCCAAAAGTTGTTTAGGAATATCTCTATAAAATTCTGCTCTTTTGCCTTGGATATCAAGTGATTTCTTAAAGTGGAGGCCTAGTATTTTATCTCTCTCCTGCTTGGATCTCAAAATAATCAAACAGTCTCTGGGCTTGTCCCTCCTCACGACTCTTCCTAATCTGAACGCAGTTGTGATCTTGAAATCTTTGTCCTCTTCTATACCCCAGAACTTGGAAAATTCTGCTGTCAGATAACCAATTAAATCTTCCTGTTCAAGCTCTGGGATAGCTCTTAATCTCAGATTGTTTTCCCGGTTTCTCAATTCCACCATAGACAGGTAAGCCTGCTGATCACTAATGTGCTTGTGTAGTGGCCTTACCTCCCTTTTAGAGCCTCAACTTTTTGATTTGCTTGTTCTGCTTTTTCATTGGCTGCTTCAGCCAGTCTCCGATTTTCCACAGTTGCTTCCTTGAGATTCCCAATAACTTGTGTATGTTGTGCAACTTGGTCAGACAATTTAGTAATAGAGGATGTGGCTTGATCTATTTTTGCCGATTGGTCATCCACCTTCTTGTTCAATATTGCAAATTGTTCTAACATTTGTTGTAAGAAGGTATCTGATCCTCCCTCTGCCATATCCTCTGATGCAGGCTGTGCAGTTTCCTTTTCTTGTACTCCCAAAACAGCTGGGACAGATGATCTACGTGACTGAGTAGTCAAAGTTGTTTGCACAAGTTGGGCTTGTCTTGCTTTCGTTTTCGCAGATCTTGTTTTTCGGTTGGCCACTCATTCCACACCTGTCTATGAGTCAAGGTCAAGCTGTATATTGTCCCATGGGAAGGACAGTTCCAAAGTGTAAATAACAGAGCAGCAGATAGTCCAAATAAAATTTGTTCCCAGGCACTTGTAATTCCAGAACTCCACTAGGGAGTATTACTGTAGTTCATAGAAAGGAAAGAACTTTATCCGCCATTAAAGTCCCTGCAGCCTCAAAACAGTCTAATTTACCAAAGTTCTTCATAAACTTTTTTAGCTTACAGAGCACTTCCCAAGCTGCCACAAAGTCTCAGATAAAAGGTGCCAGTAACAGTTTATTTAATTGTATCTTGCCAGTATCACTCAACTGTAACAGTCTCTATTTTGGATACAGTTTCCGCAATGACAGCTCTCTTTTTCCTGTCAGTCCGAGGTTTGGTTCTTAATTCTTTATAATCCATAAAGGGAGGAAAGTCCCATTTAAAGTCCAAAACACTTAGAAATAAAAATCTTTTCTCCTTCTTTTTAAAAGCCAATTCTATCAACACGATAGTCCCAAATTTATAATCTTTTAAAGCTGCTTCCCGCTTGTTAAAATCTTTGCCTTTGATCTTTAAAGCACTGCCGGAAGACGGACTTCCTGTTTATCGTCTCCCGCTTTCAGCCAAATTTAACACTTTTAGTCCCAAAATGATTGATCCTTACTCACGAGTAGGTAGTTTAGAGCCTGATGTTCCAAGAAGAAAGGTCGGCGCTCATCAGCAGCAGCCGCGCGGACTTCGCTCCCGCAGAAAGAGCGATGAACTCACAGCACCGCTCCCCCTTCCACGTTTCCGGGCCCCTTACGGGGTTCCTTCTTCGTTTTAGGGTCGCTCCTGGTGCCCGCCCGAGTCCCACGGCCACGGGCTCACTCTGCCCGTGGTTTTTCTTAATGGGTCACCGCTGTGCAGCAGCGGACGACCCTTTCTGCGGAGCCCCTCTTCAGAGACCGAAGAGGACCGCCATTGCCGTTTCGCGCCGCCT